CCAAACCCAAACCCAAACCCAAACCCCCCCCCCAACCCCAAGCCCAACCCCAAACCCAAACCCAAACCCAAACCCAACCCCAAACCCAAACCAAACCCTTAGCCTAAAATGAAATACTTTTTTATTAATTACATTAGTTGATAGGTACTTTAGAAAAAGGTAACTGTTGTGATTCAATAAAATAAAATATTTGTGAGAATAATTCCTTCAACGTCTTATAGATTACCGGATTTATAACTAGAATAACTTTAATATTTATCATCAAAACAATAATTTACAAAATATTGAAATTCCAATAAATGGCATTTTAATAAGTTAAATAGGGATGAAATATTCTGTAAACCGCCTAAAAAAGCACATGAAAACAATTGAGATCTCATTCAAATAATTATAAATAAAAATCATCATCATCATTAGGATTATAATTTTAATCATCAGATTGCTCAGATAAATAATCTTGAACATAAATTTGAAAAATGACGCATCCTTAATTATATTTAAGATAATATTAGAAATAATACCTTATAAAATAATTCAGATTATTTTAGGTTATTTTAGGTTAAAAATAAGTGTTATAAATCGGATGCTTAAGTTTTTCTTAAAAAAAATAAATTTTATATTTGATTTAATAAAAAATTTCATTTTATAGATGAAGAATCAACAACATAATGAATTCAATGAATAATATCATTTAATTCCTCAAGAAGAATTAAATTAATAATAACTAAATTAAGTTAGATAGAAGGTACATCCTTGTATTTTATGTTTGTTATTAACTTTCGGAATGAGTATTTTGTTTGGAGGTTATTTAATATCTGAAATAACTCTAAACAACGAAAATTAATCTTAGAATTGTGGGACAATGATTAAAATTATAAAATATTACTCTCAATTCTTAATGATTGATGGAGTTGCTTAAATATATAGACTTAAAATATTAAAGAATTATTTTTGTAATTTTAGGCTTTCTAATGCCTATTAAGAAATATGACATTAAAATTTAAGTAGATAGATAAGTGTCCTTTGAATTTTTGATCAGCTCTTATTTTTTTTAGTTCTAATCATTATGATAGGTATAGCTTAGAATGAAAAAAATTGTATAAATAATTGGAGTAGAACAATAATTTTATTATATTCGTTTTTAATATATTTTCTGATTATGCTTTTGGCAATTCATAAATATATTGGATGAAATTATCAAATAAATATATTAATAATATAATTAATTCAATCCTTTTAATTTAAAATTGTTAATAGTTCAATAACCTTTCTTAATTATAGAATGTTTAAAGATGTAAATAATTTTAAAATAATGAGAGAAAAAACATAGACAATTTTCTAATCTCATTAGAATCCAGTTTATGATCTGAATAAAATTATTATAATAAATGTGAAAATTAGTAAATATTAACTATAAAAATTGTTTGTTATAACATACAAAACTAATAAATATTCTTATGATTTAATTTTTCTTTTTTTTACACTAAATTATCTTCTATTTTTTCAATTTTAGAAATATAATTATAAATTCCAAATGATTATAATTTAAATGAACTTCATTAAATTAGCTTTAAATTATAATAATTTGTTAATTTTCAAGTTTGTGATTTATTCATTATTTAAAAGATTCTCTCATTTGTTATCTTAAGATTTGTAGGTCAAAATTAATTAAATCTAACTCTAATTATTTACTTTTAGTTTTTGTTATTCATTTTTTAAATTGATTTGCCTTTTTTTATTTTTATCAACTATTAAACATAGTTGATCCTTTTATAAATAACCATACTACTCTTAATTATCCCAAAATTTCCAATATATATTACACACTCATTAATATTAGAACTAAAATAATATATACATTAATCAATAGTAATAATTACCCTTAATAATCTTTTATAGAATTTATTTATAATTTAATATTTACAGAAATATCTTTAGGATTTTTTAAAATACTTATAATTGAAGATTTTACATCCATCGTTTGTTCTCGCTTTTTTAAATCATCCTTCTCAATTGTTTAAATATATTGAGCAGATAAAATAAGGAGGCAACCCTACAATTTGTTGTTATTTGATGTTATATTGTAGTTTCTTTCTCACTTTATTTGTTATATATAATAATCCAATTTCTAATCATCTATTAATAATCCTTTTATTATTATTCAAGTTAGAATTGAACATAACATATCTATAATTTTATCTACAAATCACAACATTTCACCATCTAGTCTTCTAAATTCTTCCCTTTCATATTTTTCCTAAAATTTAACTGTTTTATAAGACGAATTTCTCTATTTGTGTTCTTTCATTATTTTACCAACACATAAACAGATAAAAAATGCGGTTAGAAAAAAAGTACCAAACCCAAAATAAATAAACAGACCAATCTTATAAACCTATGATTTAGAATGCATAACTAGCAAATTTTAGACTTTAATACTTTCTACAGCTGAGTATATTAAAGGTATTTAAGAATATTCAATCCTGAAAGTCATATTTGTATCAGGTACATCAAAATCTGTTTCTATGTATAGTAAATGATTTTAATAATTATGTGTTCTATAAGTTAGTTGAACTTCGTTTCGATACTTAAATATGAATATTTAGAGATTATCTATTATGATCGTTTATATTTAATTATTATGATTGTTGTATATAATGGTTATAATCTTAGTTCTTTTGTTGATATTGTTAATTTAGAGTTTTTAATAGTGTTGGAAAGATAAACATCTAAAATAACAAGCAATGTAACCTATATAAAATAGTATTAAAATTTTTATTTAATAAAAATTCATAATTTCGTATTGTTTTATAAATAAAAAATAGAGATGGGAATAACTTTTTCAAATCAATAAAAGAAATTCAATAAATTTATGATCAAATTATAATAAGAGGTGAATATTAGGTGTAGGAGAAAAAAATTTGAAGAGATAATTAATTTACACTCATGAACAAGAATGATACTTTATATAATTTTTGAAAGAAAAAGAGATCATATACATTTTTAATGGGTAAATAGCAAGATTATAAATAATAAAACTTTGATAGAATACAAAATTTTTCATCATTAGAGCCTGAAATTTTCAATAATTTAGAATAAATAAGATATCAAAATGGGGAGCTAAGTAGAATGGGTAAATTCTTTAAAAAAGTTGGAGGATATTACAGTATAACTTTATATTAAATTTGGAAAAGTATTATTCTTCGAGCATGGGAAAAAATTAGGTTTATGGAAATAATAAATTAAGAATTTTTGTAGGAAAATATTAAAAATAAAGAATCATTAGTCAGATTGATATATTTGAAGAGGGTGAGAATGTTTTGAGGAGATTGTATAAATTATTTGCATAAAATCTTTTCACTAGCCCTCTTTCAGGAAATCAATTCTTATTACATAATCGCTAAATAAAAATTAATGACAAAGTAGAATCAATTTTTATTATTATTAGAATTACATTATTAGTGATAATGAAATCACTTTTTAACCTTATTGTAAAGATTAGATGCATTTTTAAGGGATGATAATACTGATAGATATTATTCAAAATAAAAGAAATATCTGTTAAAGGCAGTTAAAATAGATATTATGTTATTTTGGTAATGAAAAACAAAAATATAGATTTTATAGCATAACAGTCTAATTATTTTAGATGTAATAATATATTTGGATAAATAACCGAAGATGAAAAGAACTAAAAAAAGAAAATAAAGAAAATTGAAATCAGAAATATCATGAGAATTGATGAAGAATGAATATTAAAATTGTTATGGAATTATATATTTAAATATACTGTATGTAAAATGTTCAAACCTCTTTAAAATTAATACAGAACCATTCTATTGACATTACTTGGTGATATTCCTATACATTAGTGAAATATAATTTATTGATTATCAGAAATACTTGAATAATATAATTCTTTTATTTAATGTAACAGATTTCATATTGATTAATTTAAAGTCATTTCTAAAAGAATTTCAACAATATATTTATAAAAGCTTATCAATTTTTAGAAATTCTTTCATTCTTATTAACAATTTGTAAATTTTTGAATTTCTATTAACAAAGTTCTATTATTTTATTTATGACTAATACTGTGATTTATTTCCTCTTAGCTTTGATTGAGGTTTCAAATACATAATGGATAGCCTATACTAGTTTATTAAACTATGATCAGAAATTTACTACATAAGGATATTATAGTGCTGGATATTTTCTAAAGCCATCAACCTAAACTACTGCAAACTTTATTTCCTGTACAACTCCTGCTACAAGCTACATTACTTTAGATAATACACATCCATCTTCTCAAAGTTTTTTTTACTACACAGTCATGGATGGATACTGGATGTCTGTAGATTTATATTTTCAAGGTACATGGTCATCTCAAAATTTGTAATTTACATTAGATTAATTTTCTTATCAATATTCCTATACTTCTCCATCAACTTTTTCAATGACAACTGGATTTTGTGATTCTCATCCTTTTGAGGTTAGAACAGTAAATTTTACTATTCAATCAACAACAGGTACAAATTAAATTTCTGGCAATATGAAATTTACATCTTCTAATGCAAATTAAGGATTGGTTTCATTAAGAAATATTCATGTCTCTAAACGATAATGTTATCCATCTTGTATTTCATGCACAGGTCCAGAGAATAACTAGTGTACATAATGCTATTATGGAACACCAACAAATAATATTTGTCCAACTTGCCCTCCTAATTAATACTATTGGAAGTATTACGGATGCAAAGATATTTGTGAAATCTACTCTCCATTTTATTCCAATGGATTTTGTTAAAATTATCTTAGTAATTATTATAAATTAAGATAATATAGTTTATACTATAGAATATTGTACAATAAGGAATATCAACTCATAAGATTTGAAATGGTAGTTAATATATGACTAACACAATATAGATACTTCTCCAAAAATTATAGCTGTTAATCAATATCAATTTATATTCGGTATATTTAAATTTAATTCTGGGATCTATAGATATTTCAAAGGGTTGTCTACCTATTTACATGCAACCTATTTAATTGGGTTAAAGATAAAAATATTCTTTTTTAATGACATTCCAGTTAATTGTGGAATATAGTTTATGATTAATAATACTTATTATGGATCTATTTATAAAAATGCCTTTGGAATTCAGACTCATAAATTTAAAATTTCAAATTATTATCCAAATTAGGGATCTTATTTAACATATTCCTCAAGGACAGATTACGATTTAATTATATATGTTGACATTCCTAAATATCCATTTATATTTTCAGCAAAAGGGAATTATACGTAATTATTCATTTATTAATAATAGTGATGGCACAGCAGGTTGGGGAATATCTGAAATTTAAATTACTTCAGGATATTGTTCTTAATATTGTTTATAGTGTGATGTATCGTTTAAATGTATTAATTGTCAAAGTGGATACTTCATTTATCAAGATGGTAGTTGTATTAGCTATTGCTCAGCTCCATATTAAAAATTAGATGGCATTTAATGTTATGATTACGATAATGAAACACCTTGTATCTTATATTATTATATTTAGACTCTAAATATTTGATATAAGAATATATAAATGATGCCACCTCCCCTGAATATTATGGATAATATACTTTAATTTCTCAAAGTGGAATAAACTTTTTAAAAGGATCAGATATCTATTATTCATATTTTGGAGGAATTACAGTTTTTGGAGGTCCTTTTGTATGGGCTTAAGCTAAATTCTAAAGAATTCATAATATTTAATCTCCACATCACAGTGTCTCTATTGCATTTTATATACTTTTTGGACCATCATTCCCTACAGATGGTAGATTTATATATAATATTGAAAATAATCCAGTTGAGTCTAAATTAAGTACTAGTAGTAGTCATGGTTCTTATTCTGATGGTTCAAAATACATTAAGGTATATGAAAAAATCATTCATTCTGCAAATACATTAACAATCACTTGGGAATGTTTTGGTTCAAATAATGAACCAGTTAAGGCTTATTGTGGATTCTACAATTATTATATTGTTGTTCACAATTGCTAGCCTTATTGTTAGTCATGTTTAAATTATTATTCATGTGATTCATGGAACTATTATGATTCTACCATTATTTCATTATCTTAAACACAATGTTCAAACAATTAATATTATGATAAATACTTAGTAAGATGTTTAGATTGTCCAGCATCTTGCTAAACATGTACATCAAAAATAGATTGTTAAACATGCAAATCAACTTATACTTAACCTAAATTAGGATGTATATGTACAATGAAACAATATGAAGATTCCAATCAATGTTTTAATTGTCCAATAGAATGTAATTAATGTTTAAGCCCTACTTATTGCATAGAATGTTTGTATAGTAATAATAGACAATTAATAAATGGGAAATGCGATTGTATTGATGGATATTATCCAATTATGTCGAATCCTTAATGTAAGTAATGTCATTATTTGTGTAAAACTTGTATTGGACCTTCTTCTGATGAGTGTTTAAGTTGCAATAATATTGGAAATATTCAACAAGTAGGATCAACATGTAGTTGTCCAATCGGTTAAGCTTATTAAGATAAAATAAAAGCCTGTTCTTCTTGTCATTCATCATGCTTAGCTTGTTTTAGAACAACAATTGATGGTTGTTTAACTTGTGAACATACATTAAATAGAATATTAGAAGGGTTACGATGTATATGTGCACCTGGTTTTTATGAATCAAGTAATATTTGTACAAGTATACATAATAATGATAATTATAGATTGTCCAAATACAGAAGATTCATCCCTAAGTCAGTGTTATAAATAATGTAATAATAATTAATAAATTTGGCATACTATTACTTGTAATTCTTGTGATATTGGATTTTAATTAGTATCTGGAGAATGTCAACCTATTTGTGGAGATACACAAATAAAAGGATATGAATAATGTGAAGATAATAATACAATCTTTAATGACTTATGTTATAATTGTTAATTTTAATGTCCAGCTCATTGTATAACTTGTAATTAATTTACTGTATTACCTTGTCCAGATACTTGTGGAGATGAAATAATTAGTGGAATTGAAGAATGTGAAGATGGAAATACAATTTAATATGATGGATGCTATAATTGTTAATATTAATGTTAACCTTAATGCACAAAGTGTATAAAAGGATAATGTATTGAATGTTTAACTGGTGGTTGGCATATTGATATAACAGTTACTCCTTGGTAATGTAAAGAAGTATGTGGAGATGGCATGATAGTGGGAAGTGAATAATGCGAAGATTTTTTTTCATTACCATATAAAGGCTGTTAAAATTGCAAACCAAGATGTCAAAATTCTTGCTTTATTTGCGATACTACTGGACTTGGTTGTCTATCATGTAAATTTGGATACAATAGAATTAATTATACTTGTTATTCAGTTTGTGGTGATAAAATATTAACTGAAGAAGAATAATGCGATGATGGTAATTTAATAATAGGAGATGGATGTCATTTCTGTTAATTTAGTTGTTAAGATTCCTGTCTTAATTGTATTTAAGGAGATTGTTATGAATGTTAAGAAGGTTATGAATTTGAAAAATTTGAATTAAGGTGCAATTTAATAGTATCAACTTTGAGTTTTTGTCAATATTAACTTAAATTATTTCCAGATTTATATTGCAGTTATTGTTTTGAGTATTGTGAAATTTGCAATGAAAACAAATGTATAATTTGTTAAAATGGCTATTATTTAGATATTAATTTTTCTTGTATTTCAAATTATGGGGATGGAATAGTTGTAAAAAATGAGGAATGTGAAAAAATCAATGTTATAATAGAATATGAATATTAAGAATGTTTATTTAAATGTTAGAGAGAATGCTTAAATTGTATAGATGGAGTGTGTTTTGCATGTGAAGAAATAGGATGGGAGATTGATATAATTTCTAGAGGGTGCAAACCTATTTGTGGAGATGGTTTAGTTGTTGGAAAAGAGTAATGCGATGATGCCAATGAAATTGACGAAGATGGATGTAGTTAATGCTAATATCTATGTTAACAATAATGTACAAAATGCTATTTAGAATTTTGTTTAGAATGCAACTTTTAAGGTTGGTATTTATATGAAAATATTTGCATAACTAATTGTGGAGATGGTATTATAGTAGGAGATGAATAATGTGATGATCAAAATACAATTCAATATGATGGTTGCTTTGATTGCAAATTAGAATGTTAACCTTCATGCACAGATTGTCGATATGGAATATGTTATGAATGTGGAATTTAGGGTTGGGAAATAAAGAATTAATTCTGTTTACCAATTTGTGGTGATGGAGTAATTATAGAAGATTTAGAAGAATGTGATGATGGAAATATTATTCCATTTGATGGATGCTATGAATGTTTATATGAATGCTAAATTGGATGTCTTGAGTGCTAATAAAATTAATGTCTTAAATGTTTTGATGATTTATATGAATTGGATGTCAAATCATCATAATGTGTTTAAGTAAATTTGAATATCAACAATTAAGATACTAATTAGATAAATTTAGATATAATACAATATATAAATTTAAGATGTGGAGAAGATAAGTAACTAGTTGATAATAAATGTGTAAGTTTATGTGGAAATGGATTAGTTGATGGCAAAAATGAAGAATGTGATGATGGAAATTTAAATGGAGGTGATGGATGTTCTTCTTTTTGTCATGTAGAAGATTCATATTAATGTGTAAATTAAAATGGTTCATTCAGTTTATGTACATTTATTTTGGCTCCAGAATTTAATTTGAAAATACTTTCTGATATATCTAATCCAATTCAAATTGTAGAATTAACTTTTAGTTAATAAGTTAAAGCTCTGGCAGAATTACCACTAGAAGAAATTATGGTGTTTGTTATTACTCCTCAAACTAAACATGAATTAATACTAAGAGTCTTTTCTAATATAACTATTAATCTAAGCAACCCTAAATATTAGGTGCAAATTGAATTTTTTGAATCTGTATCAAACCCTGTTCTCGAAGTTTATACTGATAAAACTATGATATTTAACTCGTTTGAGTAAAGTTTAGATATAATAGAAAAATAAATTAATCTCGGAACACCTTATGTACTACCAGAATCTACAAAACAACAATTAACTTCCATTGTTTAATTAAACGATGTCATGATGTATTCTATGGCAAGTATATCTAGTTTAGCTTTGTTAACAGGAAGCACAATTATGTTTTTCAATTTATTAGATTTATTATAATCCTTATCTTATATGAAGTTTATGCAATACTAATTTCCTCCTCATTTAACAATATTTTTGAATACATACACCAAAGTCTCCTTATAACCAATTTTCGATTATTTTGAAACAGATTAGTATTTGAGAAAGTTAAAAGGTGAGAGTACATCAAATTAAGTTAATCAAAATAAAGATCCTCAAAATACTTTTAACCAACATTATTTATTCAATGCAAAAAGTTGCTATTTCTCTATTATAGCTTCACTTTTAACTTACATCATTTATTGTCTTTTAGTTTCTTAAAGAGTAGAAAGACTATTTTTCAAGCTCTCCAAAAAATTCCGAATTAAATTGATAATATAACTTGTTCTATTGTTTTAAAAATAAATCTAAATGAAGTGTTTAATATTAAAAATTGAATATTTTTCTCTTGGAATTTTTAAGGTATACTAAGCCATTTTACATTAATTTATGTTCAGCGTTTTGGTATAATTTCCAAATTACAAATTTGATACTCCATTTGAAATTTTCAACAGCATTAATGCTATTTTAGGATTATTATTTATTGTTATAGCTAATATTCCCTTACTATCAATTACTTCATCAAAAATCAAAAATTTAAGGAAATGGAAGTACTTTTATCATGAATCTAAACCACACTTTTGGGCTCTTCAATTTAGACCATTTTTAATTTACAGAATTTTATTCTATATATTAATCATTGTAAAATTAATTGATTACCCTGAAGCATAATCAATTTTACTTTCTATGCAATCATTTTTTTTTTTAATTTACTTAATCAAATTTAAACCATAGAAATGTGTGTTTGAAATGATAAAATTAATGTGTAGAGAGTTTTTATTAATAATAATAACAGGGTCATTTTTAATTTATAGTTTTGAATTTAGTTAAGAGTATTTCCTAATTTTTGGTTGGATTCATATTGGTTTGTTTTGCATTATTTTGGTGATCAATTTACTTTTAGATGTGCTTTAATAAATTCTCAAAACATATGATCGTTATTGTTAAAAGAAGAAAAAGTAAAGGAGAAAAGAAATGATGAAGAAATTTTATCTCTATCAATTATGAGAATGATTATTAAATTATAAAATGATATATTTATTATTTTCAATCTTATTTTACACAAAAAGACTATGTTGAAAGATTAGAATGGGATATGGATTGTCGTATTGATTTAAACTAACTCTATTTTATATGACTATATCAACTATTAATATATGGTTAACTATGCGCAGCAAATTGTTTTGCTTAAAATGCAGAAGATTTTGATGAGTAAGGAGAAATTAAATTAATAAAAATCTTTTAGTTTATCATTCTTGACTGATTGAGATCTGTCAAAGGAGATCAATTTTTAATAATTCAAAAAATTTTGCAGATAAAATAGTAACTTTTTGAGAGGGTTTAAATGTTATTTGAATTTAGTTAACATTCAAAGATTAAATTATAATAAACTGATTAGAATGGTGTTAAAATATTGATTGCAAACAGTCTCATGAATAATTAATATTAATTATATCTTGGAATAATACTGCGATTATTCTTTAATTTTCTAGCTTATATATGTTTTGAATGTAATGTGAAGAATTAGAGAGAATAAATTTAATAATTGATACTTTTTATACTTATTAATAAATACCTATTCAAATTTACTTTTTTCCTAATAAAAATATTTTGATTAGTTATTTTTCTTAAATTTTTTAATACGAAGAACTAGAGTAATTTTTATTTTAATTTCAACAATTTAAGTAGAGAAACTAGCAATATTTTTCTTGGAAAAGTTGAATTCTTAGTACCAAAAAAAGATATATAACTTTGGAATGATATAAAAAATAATAATTCCAATATCCCAAGCAGTAAATCTTTTAGTAAATCCTAAATTTGAATTATAAGTTACTTTTACAATTTGATCTCAAACAATTTCTGACTAAATCCTTTATAGTTTTAGATCAGATATCTAGATATATATCATCAAACTATTAGAATTTACAAAAATTATTGTAGTCTAAGCCCTGCTTATCCCTCAGGGTGAATGGACACAACTGAACAAACGAAGGAGATTCAGTGGGAGAAGATAGGAGAGAATGAGAGAACTCTGGCTTCCCCTAACCGTGTATAAATTAGGGGTGTTGATTTAGACTGAGTGAATTATTCATTAAAAGAGTAATACTGAAAAGGTTTTTATTAGATTAAACCTTAAATTTAATTGCTTCTGTTTCTCTTTAAATATTGATTTTTGCCTAATTCTTGATTCTTCTTAACATTATATTGGATATTTTATTCCATTCACTAAAATATTTTTGTTATTTTTAGTTTAGATAAGTAAAAATTAAAATGATACTTATCTTAGGTGCATTTCGATGATTCTAATATAAAGACTCTTTTTGATGGGATAATATTGCCTTTTGTATAAATTTGTGAATTTACTCATCAATTATTCAAACTAGATTTAGAATTGAGAGATTCTAGTAAATATTTTTGATTGTTGAGGTAATCTATTCTCTTGTTTAAATCTTTAGTATTTTTTTTTTGTTGTTGAAGAATATTATTGCAAATTCTTCTTCGTTTAATTAGATATAAAATACAATCATCTAGTTCATACTGATTGTTTGAATGTTAATTCAACTAAAAGATGCAATTTTTGTAAAATTCTTGGTAGATTAAGTTAACAAAATTTCTTAACATCTATACTTATCAGTTCTACCATAAATTCAACCATATAACATTAATATGAAGGCTCATTAATTTTTTTAATGTATTGGAATTTACCTCTTTGAAAAATCCACTTTATTTCATTTCTAAATTCTTTTATAATTTTTTCCTTTTGCATTTTGCTTTCATCAATTAAACTAAGTTTTGCAAGTAAAAATTTCTTGTATTACTTCATTTGTGATTTTCTTTTCTTAAATCAACTAAATTTCAAACTAATTATAAATATTAGCATCATGATTTTAATGATGTATTATCTTATTTTGTCAATCTTTTTCAGAAAGAGGTTCAAAAAAATACAAAGAATTTATTAATGAAGTAGATTTTCCAAATTTTATAAATGATTTGGTTTTAGTAAAAGAATTATATATTATTTTATTCCATTAAGGTTCTCCTTATTTGGTGGGCAACTTTACATAAAGTAATTTACCTTTAAAAAATCTTTTAACATTACTATAGATATTTTATCTTTATTTGGCAATCCTCTAATTATCATATATTCTTAGAAGAGATCAAAATTCTTAATCCTCACTTATCCTTATGTCATTTAATATCTGTTATAACGATAGGAATATCTATTTTGATTACTTTCCGATCTCTTTTACTAATTCTTCTTAAATTTATAAAAAATGTAAATGTTCCCTTTAATATTGATCACATAATTGTTTGTACATCTCTATCTTAGTACATAATATCCAATATAGTATCAATTTATATATTAATTTCATCAATTATAATTATAACATTATTAATATTCTTTACATCCTATCAATTCTGTATTATAATTGGGCTCTTATCTGGGAAGTATACATTTTATAAGTATTTATATATCATTAATCAATTCGATATTTTCAGTCATAAGATAATCACCAAATATCGTAAAAATCTTTTTAGCATAGTTCAGTATTAAAAAAATTAAACATGCTTCTTAAATCTTTGTTTTAGAAAGAATTATTATGTATGATTACCCTAAATATTAAATATTAATATCAGTAGCACAACATTTGAACCAGGCTTACAGCAAAATTTCAAAAATACTTAAAATTTAAAATCCTGTAATCATCTATGCATTTTTCTGTTGAGTGTTTCAAATAATCATAATACATTGTTAATTATATCGTAAAATTTGCTCCATCACATGATTATCATGTGAATAAATTCAATAATTTTTGAGAGATAATTATGCCCAAAATGCGTTAATTTATCAAAAGTCCTTTGATAAATTTATTTGATAATATCGAATTTATCGTATCCCTAAATATATACTGATTATTTCTTCTACTTATATAGAATTGGAGCAAAATATTAAAGCAATTTTCCAAGAAAATAAATTCACAAACAATAAAAAGATTGCATATAATATACAAATTTATATTTTTGTTATATAGAAATGAATCACTTTTATACAGAACGCTTTTTTGATAATGTCAATTCAATTTTTAATCTCTGTGGTATGAAACTTTAGGATATTCTTAAACATGATAAAATAGACAATTTAAAAGAGACAACCTTAGAAATTTTATTAGATGTCCTATGTGAAAATTATTACTTAATTTTGTCTGCTCAATTTTGTGATCGAGTGATGTATCCGAACTTGTTTTCATATGAATTTAAGATAAGGGGTTTAATATTGAATGAAACGTCATAGAGGGATATTTTAATATTTATTTTCCACAAACAAAGGTATCTTAAAGAATATAATTTATATATATTACCTGTATATAAATTTAAATTTCAAACTAAATCGGTTATCTAGCCCCTTCAACATATCGAAGAGTTCATCACATTTAGGCTAAAATTGTATCCTGAGAAGCATTATAATATATTGTAATCTTCTTTGTTTAGTCAGCAGTGATAGTTTCTCGCTGTATTAAGTAAAATAAGTAAGACTTGTTGTTTATTTGTATGAGTATATTTTTTTTAACGTTTTATAAGTCTTTTTTATTAGTTTGAATAATAACTCTATTTAGCCATTATTTATTAATGAGAATAGCTTATCAGATACAGATGAAGATATTTTTTGGTTGAAGTTTCTCTTGTTTATATAACAAATATTCATGAATTTTATTTTTTTAAATCATATCATAAATAATAGGAAATACGGGCAAACATATAGTCTAACTTTTAATGTTGTGATAGTATCAAGTGAATTTGTATTTTAGTTTGTCATTTTTGAGCCAAAATTTCCGTAAAAGAACATTTAATCCTTTATTAAAAATGTAGTGGGAGGCCTTGAAGTTATTAAAATTAGTTTTAAGGTTTTATATATTAAATGGCCCTAAGTTCATTAAACTAAAAAATATTGACTTTTAGAGATAAAATAAAACTATGAAAAAAAAAAGCATAAATGCTCTCAATTTATTTGTTTAGGTTAAATTCTCCAAATGAAAGAAGCAAAGATATTTATAGAAAAATAAATTGAAACATCAATTCTTTTTCTTTGCTGGTATAAAATAAAAATGGAAAAAGCAAAATAAGACTTCTTAGACTAAAATTGTTGAAATAAATTTCAAAATTATAAAATAATAATACCTGACAGCGATAAGAATAATTGCATTAAAACATCTGTTAAACATCTATTTCTTAGATCAATCAATATCTAAATTAGACAAAAAAATAATAATATTTACAGCTTAAACAACTAAGAGCAAAC